AAAGAGTGAGTCCCTGTTCTGAGCAAGTTCATGGAGACTTCACGTGTGAGAGGCAGCGATGAGTCAGACATGCTTCTGGGGCCTGCTGTTTATTTCTCTGTGCTGGAATGGGCTTCGGTGCTTTTCCACAAAGACCCATTTCTCTCATAAGGGTCCCACCCTTGGGGCAGATTCCAGCAGGGCCTGGTTCCTACCCCGTCCGCGCCTTCTTCCCTTGGAAGAAGCATATTTTACTCCTAAATCTGCCATTTGAAAAGCAGAGACGGCAAACACACGGGTATCATTGGTCTCTGTGCTTGAGCAGCCAGCCAGCCCTGGGCCTCGGCTGTTTATGAGTGATAACTCCGCCATACAGAGTTAGCGTGTGTGCCATGTCATACATAATGCTGAGCGTGTCTACGTGACGTGCTAGCATCAGTCTTGGGTACAGAAATCTGTTGGGGTGCTGGCGAAAGCAGTCCCTTAACCACATTTAGTGACTCCAGGCAAGGGGAGTGTGAATGTTCACAGTCGTCCGGTTTTTCTGCGGACTTGAAAAATGTCACACTAAAATCATTTAAAATTAAAACTAATCTTTAAAGTTGGTTTCAGTGAATGATTTCATAGTGACAAGTCCCCATCCGGGTTGGCCGTTTGTTTTCCCGAGGGATCCGTGGCCTTGCGGGTCTGTCTTCCCCAGTGGTCACGACGTTGCCTTACTGTGGTGCTTCTTGAGTAGCTACAGATCCCACCCGTACTTCGGGCTGCGTTGAGTCTTCAGCTTCTCTGCTGTTTTTCTCATTCTCATGGATCTGATTATGGCACCTTGCCACTGTATGCTAACATCCGGTGATCCGGCCTGTCCATCCCCACACCCTGTACACTGTCCTAGCTGTTCATGCTCATCCTTCCACTTGCATCCCAGTATCATTCTGAGATGCTTTCTGTTCTTCCCACATCCCCTGGCCCCGCTAGGGTCGCACCGACTTTGTGGAATAGCATGGGGACAAGTGTTTCTCCATAAGAGAAACGTTGAAATAGCAGCAAGCAACAGTGTCTTCCTTCATCCCGTGTCTCAAGGCTCTTTGGGAAGTTCTGGCTAACATGGTAATATGAGAAAAATAAGAAGTCTAACTATTGAAAAAGAAGAGAGATGTTACTGTTATTTGCAGGTGTCGTTAATGCCTTGTAAACGCCAAATACAAAGTCATAAATTTGTAATGTTATAAAATTAATAATGAGGGTTCAGGAAATTGATTTAAAAATATAAATATTAAAAACAATAGTTATAATGACCAGTTATAATATTAGTGGGAAAATGTAATATTTACAATAACAAAATGATAAAATATCTAAGCATTAAATTGAAATGGCAGTAAACATGGTTTAGAATCTAGATGAACACTACATAACTTCCTTGGTTCGGGGACCTGCAAGCAGATACGAATAAGTGGAAGAGAACAGGTCATTGTCCTGTAAATAATTATAAAGTTAAATAGTTGTAATTCAACAGGACTTTTGTTTTAACTTGAAGAAAATTTTCAAGTTTTTCTAAAAGAATGAATATGGGAGAATAGCCAGATTTTTTAAAAAAATTTTTTATTATTATTTTTTCTAGCCCTAACCCCAACCCTATAGCCAGGAGATTTATAAAGGAAGTATGCTGAGGAAGGACTTGCTCTAATGTTTTCTAGTATTAACAAGCCACAGCCATTAAAGGCACGTGCTTGGATTGGCCGCTGGACGTGGCACAGAGGCAGTGAGCCCGCAAAGGATTGAGGGCCTGCGGAAGGAATGCGATTGGCGTAGCCTTTCTGGTGCCACATTTTAAATGCTGTTTGTCGATTTTAAATAATCGTGCTTTCCTTTCCTTCTCAGTCCAGTCAACCTGCAACTAAAACGAGACTTTTTAGCACGCTTGATCCTGAACTCATGTTGAACCCAGAAAACTTACCAAGAGCCAATGCCGTGGCTATGACAAAGGAATATTCCTTCCTGCGCACCAGTGTCCCTCGGGGGCCGAAGGTGGGCAGCTTGGGACTCCTGGCACATCCTAAGGAGAAAAAAAGTTCCAGATCAAGCAAAATTCGGTCTCTGGCTGACTATAGAACCGAAGACTCGGACGCTGGGAATTCTGGC